CTACAATATACAGATGATGTATTATAGAATTGTACACCTGAAACCTGTATCATTTTATTAACCAGCATCACCCAATAAATTCAATAAAAATTTAGAAAAATACCCAGTTCATATTAAAAAACTATACCTACCAAGTGTCCTTGTTCACAGACCTGATAAACTGTAACCCGTCTAGATACGTACTCAAGATATTATCTGAACATCTGCCTAATATTTGCTCTTATCAGGCATTGCTTCTGCTCTGGGTATACCTCTAATCCCAGTAAGTGCCTACTCCAGAGTCAACCACATCTGTTCCTCTTAGGAAAAAACCAAGGTGATTACATTCTAATAAAGCGTATTTCTTTACAAATTTCTTTACTGAACTTCTCCTTTAAAAGGAGACTTTGTTCAAACAGAACTTCGTGCAAAAAGAACTTCAGCCATGAGCACATAGAATTCACTTGGTTTACCTAACCCAGGGACAGAGTCATGTTGTCAGATTTCTCTGACAAATGTATTTCCTGAGTCAAAAGCTCTGCCTCAGTGTACAGTGTCTTTCAGTGGCCTCCATCTTAAAGAAAATTTGTTAGATAAAACAAATCTCCGTATTTGGTTCATCTGTGCACCCGATGTTGCTTGGTGCGATGTCATTCACAGGAGACTGTGGCTAAGAAGGTGGCTAGGATAAACTACCTCCTGAATAACCAGTTTTCTGAATATAAACATTAAAACATACTGCTTAATCCCTACTATAGCTTAGGGGCAAAAATATGGGAAAACTCGCCATTTCTGTCAGTTTCCATTCTCTTTGAGATCGTCTTCAAAGTATCAAGGACTGAAATGGCAAAATGGAAATGTTTTGTATTATCTTTTTACTTTTTAAAGCAGGGCAGAATTGTAGTTCTGAAAGGGCACATGCTCAGTCCACAGACAGGGAAACAGTCTGGAGGGTCATTTGCTCAAAGCCACATGGGCGGCTAGTGACAGGATGAGGCCCATTCCCTGGGTTTCTGCAGCCCACTTTCGCCCAGCTGTCAGTTGCTATCTGGGACTCATCTCAGGCAGCGCTGTCAGTTCAGCTGCGTGTCAACACCATCATATCCAACAAACCAAGTGTTTAGAAAGTCACTTTTTTTTTTTTAAAGTATATCTTTATTGATTTCAGAAAGGAAGAGAGAGGGAGAGAAACATCAATGATGAGACAGTCATTGATCGGCTGCCTCCTGCATGCCCCTGACTGGGGATCGAGCCCGCAACCCGGGCATGTGCCCTGACCGGGAATCGAACCATAATCTTCTGGATCCTAGGTCGATGCTCAACCACTGAGCCACGCCCGGCTGGGCAAAAAGTCACTCTTTTTAGTTAAGACTTTTTTCTTCTTCTGATGGTTCTAGAAGGAACTCCTGCCGGTGCCCCCACCCCCACAAGTCAAGAAAATACTCTAGATTTCTGTCATATGCAAGAAGAAAACAAATCCAATGAATGGGTGTTCCTATTCTAAGCAGATTTGAATTATTATTTTAGGAATTCAACACAAAACTTTCAATAGTAAACAAAAGAGGTGAGAGGGATTGCTCAGTGTTACCTAAATGGCTGAACACATTTTTCTAAATATTTTCAGTCATGGGAAAAAAGCAAGCTATCAATATTTTTAATTTCAAAAAACCAAATTTAATAAGTTAATAAATGCATGCCAGATAAAACCACAAAATTACAACTAAAACCCAATAATAATTTAACAGAAAATGTTCTGCATTGGATTTTTTTATTGGTGCGGATCATTTACTAAAGTAACAAATCTGAAAACATTTTGCTTTTTTGCTGGAAAGCACTATGTTAGAGAGGAACTAAGAGAACCCAGGAATAAAGCACTGGAGAAAAGTAGGCATATGTGATAGTCTATGGCAATGCAGCGGCCACAGGTGCTGTGTCATCCACTGATGTGCATGTCTACGTAAGCGTCAGAAACCAATGACATAGAACCCAAGTGAAGTCACGACAGATTCACTCTGCGAACATGCCAAATTACAACCACAGACTACCCAGGACGAAGAGCGGTGCAGGCTGCTGTCTCCTTTGTATGGACTCCCTTGCCAAATGGGGCTAATCATGCAATAGCCTGAGTTTCTCTTAACATGATAAACACCCAGGGTTACTAGGACTGGAAAGCGCGTGATCAGTTTTACAAGGACAGCTCAGCGGTGCTACAAAAATGGAAAGTTCCTTCATTTTAAACTGGTTATATGCCCAAACTTCTAACCAAGGAATAATTCAGCTATAAGAGCCAATTAAATTACTATAAAACATTCCTTCATCTGTAAAACATTTCTTTTCCCCCTCAAACTAAAAACCTAAAATAAGATGTCTTCATTTTTGATAAGCAGCTCTACCACCAGTCTCTGATATCGTATATCATTCAGTGCAGCCATTGCGTCTAGTTCTGGAGATCTCATAAGGGTTGGGCCGAAAACAATCCCGAGGTTTTCTGCATTCATAAGATTCTCCTTTTCATGGAGGGTCACTCTGAAAAATACAAGTAAAGGAGTATGACTTTGTGTAAGCCATGTAGTTCTGCCTTGTGCTTTGGCACTAAAACAAAAACAAGATTTGTGTGGGTTCAGTTCTATTTGTGGATTCTCTGGCCACAGCCTAGAGCTGCAGGGGTATGTCTGCAAATAGCAGAGAAGGAACTGGGTCTTCTTGATTGTTCCATCAGCCCTCCCTTCCTCCCTTCACTTGGCTATCTTGTTTCCTACAGATTATTTTTGCAAGTGTCTAGGGAGAAAGTGGTAGTGACATTAATAGGAAATGGCCCAGGGTAAGCAACCTTGTGAGAGAGAGTAAGTGTTTATATTCTTTTACTGCTACAGAGAAGTCACAGAGACTATGATTTGAGAGTTATTTCTTTGTTTTAGTGTGGAGTACTTAACTGCATCCAGATAACAAGCAAACTTGAATTTACAAGTGAAGTTGTAAGCAAATAAAAGTTTTAACTCACGGTGCTTTTAAAGAGGAGAAACATGTAAATATTAAAAGCGCCATGAATTAAATATTCATTTCTGGGTAACTCATGCCTAAAGGCATACAAGATAGATGTCAAGTTCTGATCTTTTTTGTTGTTGATTGGTCTTATAGTTCAAAACCCTAAAACCACTAAATCTTGGTCCTATAATTTTAAAAACATTGCTTCAACTGGTGGGGATGGAGGGTGACTGAACAGGGAAATGAAGCTACATCACCATCAATCACTTTAAAACATTAAACCAGAGTAACAAAATATTTTATTTTCCATTCCTCCCTTTACCCCTTACTTGATTCCATCATTTTTTACAGCAGTTTTTAGTGTTGGCAACATCAGTCCTATCACCAAGTCTGAAGTGCCGGTTTTGGAGCAGGAAGGAGCCTGCTTGCAGGTTGCTTTGCTCTCTATTGTGCTAATGCTCATGTCCCCACAGCTGCAACAATCTTGTCCCTTTTCACAGAAAGTAATGCATGTCCTTGGCAGAATATTAGTACTTCTAACATATTTGCCAACCGATGCTAGAATTGTAAATATGTTTATGTCTGAATCAAGTGTGCGTTCAGTATTGCAGTGCAGAATATTTTTAGCGTTCCTTCTCAACTTGTGCAATTTTGCACAAGACAACATAACCATGCATTTATTTATTCACTCAATGGATCATTTGTCCTTTCTTTCACCTTTGGTTTCATTTCATTTCATTCTTAAATTCTGGATGCAGTAAAGTATAAGCGTCACAGTCTGCTACTTGCCTCTTCAGGTGCGCCATGAGGTACCGGAGGGTTTCGCAGTGGGCGGGCGGCAGCAGCTTCAGTGCTTCATGAAGGGTTTCTAATTGCTCATCAGGATCCATAATTTCTAAGGGAGCAAGTTGAACACCAAGGAGAAAAACTTATAGGCGACTAGTACAAGTGGTTCATTTAATTCTACTGTGCTGGTCTTTTAAAAATGTAAGAAATGCTTTCTCACAGATCCTTGCCCTCAGCCTTGGAAAATATTTTAAGGCTCAAGCCTCAGATTTCCAAAGGCTTAGTTTCAATGTGGCAATACTACGGGCTTTTGGGGAGAGCACCCAATGTCTTCACTTGAATGTCTTGAGTCTGGTAACTATGGAAATTGGCTATTAGAAACANATGTGGCAATACTACGGGCTTTTGGGGAGAGCACTTGAATGTCTTGAGTCTGGTAACTATGGAAATTGGCTATTAGAAACATAGGATGTAACTACACAAAATTCAGACACGTATATACCTTGATTTAGGCAAATTTTTCTTAGGATGTGCTTTCAAGAGCTCTCTGAGGGGTGGGTGAGGGGGCTTGCTGCTTTTTGGATAAGTCTGTTTCAGACACCAATCTCAGAACGATGACAAATAGTTTGGAAGGACAAAGGGGAGATTTGCCGCGGCCACCCAGGTGGGTGTGGGCAAAGCAGCTGAGGTAATTTGGGGGTGTGGGGCAAAAGGCCTTGAAATCCAGCAAGCAGGGCTTGGATTTTTCTTCTAAGTAGATGAGGCAGTGTGTAGAGTTCAGAACGTGGGTTTTAATCACTGCTGTGTTCTCTGCTAATATTTAGATACCCTTCCAAGTTTCAGTTTTATCCCAAGCAACATGGGGACAGGAGCACCATCTAGTTGAGCCCCGGTGTTGTCCTGGGGCCAGAGCAAACTGCAGACTGACCGAATAGCCCTCAGTGAAGTGTGTGTCCAGTGCTTTCCACATTAGTGCCAATCAGGCTTATCTCTGTGGGAGGAAACGCCTGCCCCACGAAACAAGAACCTCGGCAATAAATCCATCCCCAAATGAGAGGAGTTAAATTCCCAGGGGAGAGATCTAGAGCCTTTCAGGCTCATAACAAGCAAATCTGTAAAAATCAGGGCAATTCTCATGGCTATTCTCGACATGAGGGCTGAGCTGACCCAGGAGAAATCAAGGCTCCATGGGACTAACCACAAAAATTCTCAACAAAAGCTCTAACGGGAAAACTAACAATTAAAACAAGGAAAGTTTGTGCTTCATGAAATTTCAAAGTCAAGAAGCAAATCAGTGTTACTAAGGAAATAATGTTATTATTTAAAGATAAAGATGGTAATGCTGACAGTTAAAATCTGTTCAGAATTCCCTTTAAAAAAATGGAGCAGGAATTGCAGGTATGACTTTTTTTTTTTTTTGCTAAAAGAATTAGCAAATGAGCCTTTGCTTTTCCTCATTCTCATCTTAACTTAAAAAAGAACAACCTGACATAAAGCAGTGCTCCTGAAAGCAGGATCTGCAGGCCAGTGTTGGCTTACACACTGTTGATGGTCCATCACAGGGTTAAGTATGGAAACTGAGAGTAAGAATTTAGAAACTTTTACTGAAATCTGACAGTAATTTTTACGCTTGCTGTACCTAACAACAAAATTGCTGATCTTTTTTAAATTTTATTTTTCCAGTTTTTAATTTTATTTTACAAGGTGTTGGTCCACATCGAAGGAGCGCTGGCAGCAGCCTGCCTTTGGAGAATGGGGGCCAGCACGTTACAGAGTTCTGGTGGTAGAGGTCGCAAGTGACTTATGCTAGAGAGGGGCTCGAAATTCCTGTGGGCACCTTAACCACACAGAGGGTGAGGAGGAAACAGTTCATTAAATGCATTCAAGATGCTCAGCGGAAAACGAGGAGAAGCGATTACCCAGGAGAGGCAGCTTGCCAGGCCCCCGGGCCGTGCCCGCTTACTTACTGGCAGACTCTATAAACTTTGGGTAGGCGTCGTACGTGATGAGTGGGATGGGCAAGTCCCTGAAGTAGAGTTTCAGCGCACCAGTGATGATGTTGATGTCTTCATACACGTTCACAGAAATATCTGCTTTCTCACCATCTTTGAAGGATGTTAAAAGAAAGAAAAGGAAATATTTGGAGCCACAGCACTGTTTTTATAAATGACATTTCTGTATACTGTTTTTAAAGATAAGCAATGCTTAAGTTTTTAACATCAAATTCAGTGTGCTAAGTGATATAAATTATTGATATGCTGTGAAAAGCAGACTCTATTTTTTTGAATTTTCTATCCTGAAGTTATTTTTCCATGTTATTTACAGAGGGGGAATTCAGAAGAGGATTGGGGTCAACAGAAATATTTTTGTATTTCATGGCTACTTGAGAATTCCTAGGGGGATAATATGAATTTTTTTTTTCCTTTTTAAAGCAAACATAGAGAATGCAAAAAATAAGAGGCACGCTCAACTTACGAAGACCCCCTAGCCCCAAAGGCCTTTATTCTTTGTGTTTTTGCACCACCCCAGGCTCCCACACATAATGTTTGGATCTTGCCTGAGTCCTGTGGGTAGAGGAGGTGGTGAGAAGTAAAAGAGGGAAATAAACCAAAAAAAAAACACACCAAACCAAAACCTTATAGTGTTGAAATAACAAGAAGAGAAGGAATTACAAATGGGAGGCCACATTTCAGAGGTGCTGGGCCCTGAGACTCTCAAGCAGAGCTACCTTCCTTTAGAGTGGCCTCTCCCACTCCCCTGTGCACTCAGTACTTTACTTGGTTAAAATACCTGGATTTTAATCTACTGAAGATTTAATTAGCATCTACTCCGAGCTAGATCTTATGCTAAATTTCTTTTGTTCCATTTGGTTGAAAGACTTCTATGGACAAACAGCAGCCTCTTCACCATACACCTATTAGAGCGGCTACAATCTAGAACTGATAACACCAAAGGCCGGCAGGGCTGCGGAGCGACAGCAGCTCTCACTGCTGATGAGAGCGCAGAATGGAATAGTCACTTTGGAAGAGAGGAAGTTTCTTCCTAAGCTAAACATACTCTTACCATAGAATCCAGCAACAGTGCTCCTAGCTATTTACCCAACGGAGCTGAAAACTATGTCCGCCCAAAAACCGGACACAAAGGTTTATAGCAGCTTCACAACTGTCAAAAAACTGGAAGCAACCAAGATGTCCTTCAAGAAGTGAATAAACTGAGGTGCACACAGACAATGGAATATTATTTAGTCATAAAGAGAAATGAGCTATCATGTGAAGAAAGACACAGAACTTTACAGTAAAACAGTAAAAGCAGTCAGTCTGAAACGGCTCCTGTGATTCCAACTATATGACATTCTGGGAAAGGCAAAACCAGAGTCAGTGAGATCAGTGGCTGCAGGGGCCTAGGGCAGGAAGGAGGGGTGAAGTGGCAGAGCGCAGGGATTTTACGGTAGTGAAGGTTCTGTGTGATACTGTCAGGAAGACACATGACTTTACACGTCTGTCAAAACCCACAGAACTGCACGCCTTAATAAGTGAACCCTAATGTGAACTACTGACTCTAGTTAATAATAATGTATCAATACTGGTTCATAAACTCTAACAAATGTACTGTACTAATGTAAGATGTCAACAGGGGAAGCTGTGGGCTGGAGCATGAGAGGAGGAATTACATGGGAAATCTCTGAACTTTCTGTTCAATTTTTTGGGCAAACCTAAAGCTACTCTAACGGTTTTTTTTTGTTTGTTTTTTTTTGCAGCCTCTTTTAAAATGCAAATACCTTGGCCTATTAGACACTCACATTCAAGTGTGAATTACATAATCAGTGCCCATCTTTCACACTGGGGTTGAAATCAAATGCAGTGACAGTACAAGTTGGGATAGAGTGCTTTCTGGAAGGAAAAGGTAATATAGTTCAGCTACCGGACAGTGTTAAACAGAATCTGGAGGTTGGCCTGAGAATCTTCTACCATTCAGATAATTCTTTCTATGGTAAAATATTTTGTTCATTACATCTCAGTCCACTCTCCTTCTGAGCCACAGTACCTTTTAGTGTCTTGACAAGGTCAGCCTCAGGGCCTCTGCACACACTGCTCTGTTGTCAGGGCCTTTATATATCCTGGTCTTTGTTACAACCAATATACAGCCAGCTCCTATTCATCCTTTGAACTCTAGCATAGATGCATAAATATTTCTTCTTTGGGAAAGCCTGTTATGATCTCCAGCATCCTCCCCACCTCCAACCCTAACAGGCTAGGTTAAGTTCCCCAGTTAGTAATATTTTTCTTTATAGCATCTATTAAAATAAAATCAGTAACCATTGTGTGATTATTTAATGTGAGCAGTCCATGAGTTCAAGGACCAAGTAAGTATACATGGTTAATTGCTGTATCTAAAGTAAAGAACACAGCAGCTGTAACATAAATGTTTCTGAGTTAATGAATCATTGGAGAGTAGATTTTAAAAAGCTAGGAGCCAGGTCCTGGCCAGCATGGCTCAGTGGTTAGAGCACTGGCCTGTGCACCGGAGGGTCACAGGTTCCATTCCCAGTCAAGGGCACGTCGTACCTGGGCTGCAGGTTTGATCCTGGCCCTGGTCAGGGCTCATGCAGGAGGCAACCAATCGATGTGTATCTCTCACATCAATGTTTCGCTCCCTCTCCCTCCTCCTCCTCCTCCCTTCCAACCGCTCAAAAAATCAATGGAAAAAGTATTCTTGGGTGAGGGTTAACAAAATAAAGAAAATAAAAAATAAAAAAGCTAGGAGACTAAACTATTAACACTCTGGGACTTGCTAGGCATATTATTCTTAAACTGATTCGTTTAAAACCTGCTTTTTGAAAAGAATCTTATATATTCTCTTCTATGTACTTTGAAGTAATATAAATGCGTTCTGTAATTTGATTTCTAGATACTACATTCTAAGTAGGGCTCTGATGCAGCAGCACAGACTGTAATGTCCTTTGTCCCCTGACTGCTTTATTACTTTCGGCCCCTGACTCTTCAGACTGGGGCTCTCCGGGGGGGGGAGGCTCAAGGGTTTTTACTTGCTCTCACCTTCCCAGGGGCCTCTCACTGTACCGGGTACATAAATATTTGCCGTTCTGCCCGGATACAACGTGGCAAGGCTCTAATGACACATGCTGACCTTGGAGTAGTGTTCCATTCAGTGACTATCTCCTGAGTGAGCGAAGATTTTCCAAATTCTGCCTTTTTACTTTGACACTAGAATTGAATGAGTTCATGCTAGCATTCTATGGATCCTGCCTTTTTTCCCCATGGATCTCATTATTTCAAGGTTAATAAGCCTCCCAGAAGTGATCACCTGGATCCAAGGGTTGGCTATATGGAGCCAAGGTAAGCTCTTCAAGATTTTTCAAATCTATTATTAGTGTTTTCAGGGTGCAAAAAGATTGTCTTGTATTTTTAATGAGAAAACTGCTGCCACTTAGTTGCTTTCTGGGCCCCATGGACACATTCAGTTTCTTTGTCAGTGTGAGTTGTTTGGGAGAACCCTGGCCAGTGACTGGGAATGGACATGCTCAGTTGCTACCTTCTGGAGGGAAAAAAAAAGCCTCTTTAACCTTCATTTAGGCATTGATTCGGGACTATTCTTGATGCTTATTTGGATTTAATATACCATTACCTCCCCTCAACATCTTTGATTTTATCAAATACTTGGGCTGGCCTAGATGTCCTATCAGGTTGGTAATAATAATTTATTTTTGTCGTCTGCCTCTGTTGGCCTTACGAGCTTTGTGATGGCAGCGGAGTGTAATGGAACTAGAAATATATACTTGCAAAACACAGAGGCTCTTTCTGTTTCATTTCCTGCATTCAAGGTGACAGGTCTTCTTTGGTACCACCTTATTCCAGTACTTAAAGACAAAACGGAGAACCACAGGGACAAATCTAAACTTAGTGTTAAAGACAATAAGCCCACTGAGCTCTCCTTTGGCTGGGCCCCTCCTCCCACAGCAGGATGGGTCCTGTGCCAGAAGGTCCTCAGCTCCTCAGCTTCTAGTCCCAACACAAGAGTCAGGACCTGGGTCTCCACTCAGTCAAAGGTGGTGATAAGGGTGCATGGACGACAGGCAGTTAGATGGGTCACTCAAACCTGGCAAATCTGAGATCTGCAATGACTCAGAGCCCCCTACTCCCATTTCCTCTGTTTTTTTTGTAAACTGAATTGCTCTGCATATATTTTGGTTAACACAGACCAGCCTTGGATATTCAAATATAGGTACAATAGTTAAATTTTATGCTTCTTTCTCACCTTGAAATTTAACAGTTTAATACTTACAACTGATAAAATAATTTAAAAAAGCATAAGCTAAGTCTTTTTATTTGGTACAACAGGCATCAATAGTTTAGAAAAATAATGCAAATAATAACATAAGGCGCTGTGCCTTTTTGGCAAAGAGTATAACTGCCCTGAGTTAAGGACATGCTAAAGAACATACCTCTGTCAAAAGCCATCTTGACGTCTTCAATGAGGTCACTAAATCCTGACACTCGGTACAGTCCTTCAGAATTAAGACCTGCAAAAATAAAGCAAGGGGCTAATTAGTCTCCTTGGAATTGTGCCTTTTCTTCAACTTTTAACTTCTTGCCATACTTCAGACTGGGGAAGTAACGTGTCAGAAAGAATGACAAATTATACATGTTTAGAAACCTCTTCACACTTTTCTCCTAAAATAAACCATTTCACTCACAGTTCTTTAACTCTGACCTGCTGCCACCTGGATATTTGTGAGCTGGCTCATCATTTTGTCTAATTAGATCGAAGATGTTAAGTCTTAAGGGAAATAATTCATCACCCCAATTATACCATAAATTCTTTTACATAACAGAAGACTGAGGTAAACTATATTAATAGTCCTGTAGCAATTTTTCCCTAGGGTGCAGCTCTGGTTTTTGGCCTAGGATAGTTTTAATAGAGCATCACACCCTTGCTTCTTAGAACCAAGAAAAAAATATAAAAATGGAAAAATGAATTGGTATCTACATGTCAACGTTTAAACATTTATGGAAACATCCCCATAAATATACTTTTACGCATACTTCCTATAACTGGTTAAATGTACCTAAATGTACCTAGAAATCGAGCTCTTTCATTATTTGTTAAATTAACTCATTTCAAACTTTCAGATCATTTGCCATCTGAAATTATTTCCTCTAAACTTTCAAAGACAACTGGGTTGTGCACTGAGGACACAAACAGCACCCGGACACGCACTCGTGAGCGGCGCTCTGAGCGCACTGGCGCCTCACCTCTGGACTCGATCTCCCTGATGCACATGTCCACCACCATCGGCCGCTTGGTGATGTGGGCTTTCACCAGGGTGGTGAGGTCACAGCTATACACCTTCTTGACATGTTTCAAGTCTGGCTTACAGTCATTTGGGACCATCTTGGAACACTGCTTATGAACATTCAAACCACAATCTAAAACGAGAATGAAGAAAGAAAAAATTCATGATTGTTTTAGAGTTTTGAGCAATCTGGACTTTTTATTTTAGCAAAAGACACTCCAGCTTGAATTAGGTTTAAAAGGGGACGAGCTTCCAGTAGCTCCTATTCTTCCCATCTCTTCTTCTGCAAAATTTTTTCGGTTTTGAGTTGAAAGAGCAAACTTCTAGCTTAGGCTTCATCATTTACTTCCTGCATGATCTCAGGAAAATAACCACCCAAACCAAAACAAACCAAATTAACAAGTGCTTAATTAAATGTCTACAAAACGTAATATTATGCCAATCAGCCAACTAAAATTTTATCTATTTATTTAAAGTTACATAAAAATATACTTAATGTGGGATATAAATGCATTTTAATAGCTAAAAATAGATCTAGTTATTTGTTACTATTATCTCCAGCTCACTAATGCCAAACACTATTCCAAGTGCTTTACATTTATTATTTCATTTAAACTCACAAAACTCTATGAAATGAGTACTATTATTCTCATTTTATAAACCTAACAAAACCAAGCATATGAGTGTTAAGTAATTTACCCAAGGTCGTGCGTTGACCAAGTAGGGAGCTGAGATTCAAGCCTACAGCGATTTTCAGGTCTGTGATTATAACACTTATACCATATTGCCTCTACTGAAATTATTCCTTTGCTTTGTAATTTTACTGGGTTATAACTTCTAAGATGCTAGAACCCAAATATTTTCTAGGTAATATTTATTTTCAACAAGAAATATGGAACAGAGAGGAATACAAATATTTCATTAAATTAGACTAAAGAGTGATAGACCATAGCTGAATAGTTTAAAATAAATGTCATCTTTATGTTTTCAAAACATAACCTGTGTGTTCTTAAGTTCATGAAAACTTGATGCTGACGTCTTGTAAATCTGATCCCAGTGGGGTATGCGCAGTTTCTAACCAGGTCTTAATAAACCATTTAAGAAAACCACTGATATTCACACAATGCTGTGACAACTGTCTGTGGTCGTTGGCCAAGCTTCAGTTTTGCTTGCTGTTCTGGCAGAAAGGGGAGCATAACACTGACCTCACAGAACTGTTATGAGAATTAACAAACCAATGCACTCAAGGTGCTTTGCATATTATAAATGTTAGACAAATGCTGGTGATCTTCATTATTATGACTTTCAGTAACGCTGCAACCTAGTTATATACGGCAGTAACAATGAACAGAGACAAGGAAAATTAGCCAAGACATATAATGGAATTGTTCTTTCATTAAATATATAGACACTGCCAACTTCAAATAAGAACTTGAGGCCTGTGGTGACTCTAAGGGAGGAATTCACATGCACTGAGCACTTCCATGTGCAGAGGCCAGGTGCAGAGGGAAGCGGAGCCTGTGCACACGTGTGTAAGTGGACAGCACTGGAGATGGCTCGGCCAGTGCTAACAGTACCCAAACATTAACACTGCTAAAGAACAGCTGCTGCTTTGAACACATGAAGGCTTCCAGAGCAAAGAGCTTGATCTGTACCACCTGAAGAAACGATGCTACACCATTCTGCAGAGTTAAATAATGTCCTAATGAATACATAATTGAAACCCCAAATTCCTCTTCAGACCTACATTAGATACAGATAAGATTTCTGACTCAATCATAAGGCAAATCAATGGCAAAATGTCCACTTAAAGTTTCCCCTGAACACTTTAATGTTTTGTATAACTTCCGTAACTTAGAGTTAGATCTAGACTCTATTAGCTGAGCAATTTTGAATGTTATATATAATAGGAATAACAGTTATACAAAATAGGAACGGCAGTGCTTATCCATTATTAGATCAATTGTTCTCTATTAGGTTCGCCTAAGGCTTCAATATTAATGCATGTGAAGTGCTTCCACGTAAGTAAATCCTAAGTATTTACCGTGACTATGCTGTTATTTCTGAAACATTTGGAGAAGCCCCTCCTACGCGGTGTCCAGGGCTGTTGGACGGCGTTGTCATAACCAGCTTACGGTCAGAAGCCAAGCTGAATTCCAAGCCCATCCTGTTTGTCAAGTGCGAAGCCCAGGCCCTGAAAAGGACTTGGGTGCCTGGGGTTACGGACGCTTCCTCACCCACACTGTTCTTAAAACACTTCATTGGCATGAAAGGCTCTACCCAGACCACTGCTGCGCACCCACTGGGGAGGGGTAGCAATGTGGCTTTTTCATGGTGTTCATGTGGAGAACGGTAGGTAAGGCCACAAGATTTCTGTCCGACTAAACTGTGCTTTTCCCAGGGCTTTCGCTAGGATGAGCAGGCTTTCCTTGGGATTATTTTTTGTTTGTGCCTGTTGGCATTAATTGGTTGTGAGTGTCTCTAGTGCCCAGGCTGGAATACACAGGAGGTTAAGAAAACAAAACAAATCCCAAAACACCATGAGGCAACTCATGCCTGGGTTCCCTGAGTCCTGAAGTCTCTAGTCAGCCTGCCTTCTTTTCTCTAACTTTCAGAGCCCTCTAATAGTTGATATATATATTTTGTCCAGGGAATTTTGTTGTTATTATTATTATTATTAAACATATTTTTATTGATTTCAGAGAGAGGAAAGAAGGGGAAGAGAGAGAGAGAGAAACATCAATGATGAGAGTCACTGATTGGCTGCCTAGCTCGCAACCCGGGCATGTGCCCTGACCGGGAATTGAACCCTGATCTCCTGGATCCTAGGTCAATGCTCAACCACTGAGCCACGCCCGGGCTGTTGTTATTATTGCAAGGGGAAAAAACAAACATATTTATTCATCATGTCCAGAAATGGACATAGTATTTTCAAAGTCAGCAGAGGTTCATAATCTAATAATGTTGATGTGCCTCACACTTTTAAAGTGTGTTCACAGAAGTCACAGATCCAGCTGGGAAGAGTTGTTGGGAACAACCTATCCAAGTGTCATTTCACAAAGACAATAAAGAGTTACTCAGCCACAAGCGGTGGAACTGAGCTTTAAGCTTGGCTTCCTGACTCCAGGCCTGTGCTCTCCCCACCGAGTGATACGCCACTTTCACTGGCAGTGCACCATGTGCTCCGAGTTACTGCTTTCAGCATTGAAGGTGAACTTGCTGTTCTTAATAACTTCCTGTTCAAAAATGTATATTGTAACCATTATTTGTGTATATACTTGAGTTTAAAAGACACTGCTATATTTTACTATTTTATATATATGTATATATAAATGCCTGATTTGGCAAAGACTTTTAAAAAGCAGTGGTAAAACCTATCCAATATATTCTTGCTTTGTCATAGTCTTTTCCTTTGCATAAACTCTAAATGGAAATACAGTAGGAAGCAAAATAGTAAATTTTGATGCAGCCACATAATATCAAAACATCTGAATGGCACTAATGGTCTGATATTAATTTTTTTCCTTTGAATGTTTGAAGCTATCTCCCATTTTAAACATCAGCAGAGTCCCAAGATTTCTCTCCGGATGGGCTGCCCTTTTCCCAGGGCTTTAGCTAGGAAGAGTAAGCTTTTCCTGGGATTATTTTTTGCCAGTGCTTGTTGGCATTTATAGGTTGTTGGCTTTTCTGTTGCCCACACAATTCTTCTCTAATACCCCAATAATTTGTGACTCAGTGAAAACTGGATAAAGTAATGGCCAAGCTTAGATTTAGGTATTTAAGGGAGAGGAAAGAGGTTTTTAAACTAATATTCTTTCTTCCATTTGAATAAAATTAAACTATGAAATAATATATTGTGCTCAATTTTATAAATAAATGTCAAAGGCCAAATTTTGGCAGGATTGAATAAGAAGTCCTTCAGAAGACCAACAGATTGGGCAAGGTCATTGAAATAAAGCATCTTTATACCCTTAAGGTCACAGTGCAATATACCAGCTCTGAGCTTGTTCTGAAAATTGCTGCTTCAAGGACTAGCAGTATATCAGTATTTCAGTTTGCCATTAAGACTTTATTTGGTTTTCATACTTATTTATTGAAGTCATATAACTCTTATATAGTTCCATTTCTCCCAGGGAAGATCTATACTATAAATGAAAAAATAAGTCCATAAAAGATCATTTCATTTGTTGCATCTTTTGGTTTGGTAGGTTATTTTTATGTTACAATTAAACCACATTTCCCCCTCCCAATTATTCAAGTTAATAAGCATAAAATAAACATATGAAAGGAAGAATAAAAAATTCAAATCACATTTTATTTTGTCCTTTATTAATAAACTATTGGTATTGCTTAGACTACTAACTTTAGGTTACTGAGATTTTCTAGGGCTTGATTTCTCTAAAAAATATAATTTCTGCTTTATACCTAGCAAGCACAGAATTCTGCTTTTTGAAATAAACAGCTGATATTACTTACACTCTATTGATAGGATTAAAGGGTAATGTTAATGTGCTTTGAAAGTAAAGATAATATTCATTCTTTTCTATGAGTGTTCATATTTTAAATAATTGCAAATAAAAGTTCTATTTTTAAAGATATTTCTTAGTTGTCTTCCCCATCTACCCTCCATCCAGGAAAAATGGGAATAATCTATTTCTAATATGTATCAGAAGTCACATAAGAAGGATTAAGACAAATACCTCGTTCTTTGCGATATTTATGAAATTACTACTTTTAATTGAAAGGGGCTACATAAAAGTTTTAAGCAAGTCCAGCCATTTTCTTTTGAGCTTACAGAACAAATATAATTTTTTAGGTACAGTTAATCAGAGCAATAGTTACAATAAACGACATTACTTCCCCTCCTTTCTTTTACCTAGAAGTTCAATGCTTGTCTATTTGAAGCAATAAAACATTTTATTATTAGGAAAAAACAGCTGTTATTGCCTTTTGGGGGCTGGTAGTAATGATAATACACTGAAAAAATGAAGTCAATTTAATAAATAACCAATACTAAGTTGATATGTCTGATTTACAACAAAATTATCTAGCTAATTTCTTAGAATATTCTGGTGAGGCTGAAATGAAAGCAATTCAGGAATGCTTTCATAGTCTTTTTGGTGGCAGGGATGTTTGGCCATCTCAATGATTATATAATAATAGATTACTTTAACCTATGAGCGTGCATTTCATAAAGAAGGGAAAAGTGGTTTGGGAAACTATCTGAGCAATGACGATCCTCTGAACTTTACTTCTAAAGGCTACCTATTTCATCATAAATATTTGAGGAGGAGGAGCACCACTCCCAAGCTGCAGTGAGATGCTCTCCTGTAACATCATTTTACTCACTATAAAGAATGTAAGGGACACGGCAGAGGAGAGTTTAACACCTGCTGCGGAACCCTGTGCTGAGGGGCTTTGAAAAGATCGTGTCTGTAATGACCGGTGTTCTCTTGATTCCCCTGCTGCCCCTCACTTGTCCCCGTCGGCTGTGCAGCGCGTAGCAGCAAGTCTGGAGTTTTGATAGTTGACCGGCTATTAGGGGGATTCAGTCTGGTTCCTACGGCAACTTTGCCAGTCCAGTGACTGCAACACCACCCAACATTTTATTTAATGTTAAAAAAAAGGGGGGGGGTTGATGGGATACAAAATTGCTGCTTTTGGCCAACACTCCTTTAAAAATTCCTGACAAGCTCTGCCTTGGTGGATTTTGAAAAAAGAAACCAGAACAAAGCAAGCTGTCTTAGGGATCAAAGGCAGATAAACACATCTCTTTTCTGACAGGCAGTAAGCCTGCCATTTTTCTTTGGAAGTAGTATCTTTAATGTTCAGTAGCCAGTGCATTAGTTTCCTGTTGCTGCTGTAACAAATTACCATAAATTTAGTGGCTTAAAACAACATGGGTTTTATCATCTTACAGTTCTGGAGGTCAGAAGTCCAAAATCAGTTTCACTGGGCTGAAAGCAAGTTGTTGGAGGGCTTGTGTTCCTTCTGGAAGCTCCAGGGGAGAATCTGTTTCTTTCCTTTGCCTTTTCCAGATTCTAGAGGCTGCCTGCATTCCTTGGCTGGTGGCCTTCTTCTCCCATCTTTAGAGCCAGAGGCATAGCTCATCTCTCTTTTCTGACCTCTGCTTCTGTCCTTCCATCTTTTCTCTGACTCTGCCTCTCTACTTCTCTCCTATAATGACCTTCATGATAGTGATTACACTGGGCCCACCTGACAATCCTGAGACTCTCCCATCTCAAAATCCTTAACTTCATCACAGAGTCCCTTTTGCCACAAAAAATAACATATTCACAGGTTCCAAGGATTAGGATATAGAAATCTTTGGGGAGCCATTGTTCAGCCTACCAGTTCTCTTTCTCTCTCTGTCTCTCTTTCTAACGCCTTAATTCTTTGCATTCTGTATGAGATAAAGTGGATGACTCAAAGGTCAGGATGAGCCACTTCATATCTGAGAATCCCACTGTCAATCCAAATGTAATTAGTTGCCATAAAAAACAGAACTAATTGAAATCCCAACCTTCCACATTTTAAAAAACGAGCTGACTTGTTCTTATATTACACATCAATACGGTTCAAATCACACAGAATGATGCTTTTAAGGACAAGATGTAACATAAAATGAAAAATCTCAAGGCTTTTCTTTCAGTCCCTGCCCTTTGCTCATACCAAGAGGTGAGGGCTATTAATGCAGGTGGCTGGGGATGGACTGAGTCATTTTCTCTCTCCTTTTCTTCGTATTATGACTATCATAAGTGTCCCAAGCATTTCTTTCAAACATGATTTGGGAATGTAGCATATTGCTAAAGATTATTCAGATGTGTTGTACCTGTTCTCATAAGCTGACTCAGAATTCTTTTGCAGTGGCCTTCACTCTTTCAAAAAGTAAACGATACACACTCTAGTAAAAGGAAAGCTTTTAAATTAGTTACAATCTTAAAGTGTTTAAGAAACCGCTGCAGAGTCTCAGCTGGTCAAGACTGTGTCATAAGGGCAACCCAGGCTTATTGAGCCCATCACTCCTTAAGCAGGTAGAAAGAATATTCCATTTGCCTTTGAAAAACCACAACAATGTTGATGGTCTAACACCATCACTTCATCAACACTTTACGTTCCACTGTGTTCCCATTGCAGGTTCAAAAGCTCACAAACAGCTTTCCCAGTGACCGTTCCTCATCCTGACTCTGGGTAACCACCGGCCAGAATGATAACATTGTTTTTCTTGACTCGCTGAGCAGAGACTTGCAATGGGGCTGTTGTCCCTCTAGGACAACGGAGGAGTTAGACTGGACCTGAGCTGAGGCTCTCCTTAGTGGACACCTCTGCACAGGTCAAAGTCAACACGTGGACCTCCCTGCAGCAGGCCCTTGAATGGATTTGGCTAGTGATGTGTGCCTGGAACTTCACTGTGCCTTAATACTACAGGAATAAGAACTGAAAGAAGGGTGATTTGGAACATTTACATGCAATGCATATCACACCTTGTTGTTTAACGAAAATGCAATTTAGAAATAAGAAGAATCAGACCCTAGGAGTTTCTACATATAATGGAAAACAAAAGATTCCATTAAAAATCATGCTACAAAAGAAATGTGGGTTTTTACAGTGACAGATTTGACAGAATTACTATAGTTGCCATCTTGAAATACTTTATTCTTAGTATACATTTTTAATGTTAATCTTCATGCTAAACGACATGTAAGAAGGCATTTTTCAGTTTTACAATTTAAATAGCAGAAAGAAACTTCTATGTGCAAACACTATGTATTTAAAATTTAAATGGTTATCTTTAAGCTTATGCCAGAATTTAGAGTAGTTTGAATAAATGGCCAGTACTCTGTATAGTAGTTATAGACCAATGAATTTCATGTGATGTGAATAACTACTTATTTCACAAAGCATTTCAACAAATCCCTGAGTTGGTTATTTCTTTATGTGTAAATCTTCAAAGTTTCTAAATTTAAATCTAAAAATACTATGGTCATACTTTATAAAAAAGATCTGGCATATTCAAAATTTCAAAGTGTCACAAATAAAATACTAGTGACTAAGTGGTTTTTTTCAGATTTGGTAACCCTCTTTGAAGATAAATTCACAGATTTTTAAAGCTTCATCTCCATTTCACAAAAATTTAGCAATGACAATCCAGCTTAAAAAGTTATCTTTAAAATTCAGTTTCCAAGGCAACAATCATAGGTTCCTGTATACTGCTTTTTTAAAAAAATCATTTTTATAAATTTAGTTCCTGCAACATCAAAGTCAACAGTTAAATATAACTGCCTTACTTTTATCTCCTTTTATCAGGCTTTTTGAACAAGCTGACTTCTCTCTTCCTAATGGACTAACACCAGATCCCTAGTCTGCTGTTCATTAAGTACAAGGTTAAGGGCAGATAAAACATCAATTTCCAAAGTGGTGGCCTAAAAATACAGACTACTGCATGTGTGTGAAGAGCAAGCCAGGACCCAGCCCAGTGTGCATAACAGCAAATCTCCTTAAGCCTACTTCACAGCTTACTCAATGCAGTGAGAGGGAAGAGCTCTTACCTGCACATTTCACTCCCTGAGCAATGAGACCCCACATGAAGTTGGCACAGTACTCACACCAGTGTGGCCCTCTGAACGTATGGACCTGAAAAAGAGTAGTGACAAAGTGGCCAGAGGGAAATGCACGGGTGAGAAGGTTGTTTCCCTTCAAGTGCTAATACACATATGAGTCAGTTAGTCCTGAAGAGGTATGTTACGGTTACGTTCGGCAAAACCTTAATTGAGTCGAACTGACAAGCAGTTAAAATTGCTTAGAGTTTGATTTCCTCTGTTTTAGAAATGGTGGTAAATCAAACCAATATTCTGCAATTTACTTTTGAAAATAACTCCTACGCTGGAGTTTTGCAACTTTCCCTTTAGCTGTACACAGCCTCACCTGTGTGCTATACAAACACTGGCATTTTCTGAGCTCTGTGGCATGAAGAGGGGGAGGGGCAGGTAGAGCACGTGAAGGATTTTGCTGGATGATCCACCTTCTGTCGTCTGTGACCACTGTCGGCCACAGAGGTTGAAGGTGATACTTAGTGACTGGTCACAACTGAATCATCAAAAAGGGCCAATTTCTGCTCAAAACTATTTGATGCTTATAATGTCAGCAAAGAGCATGAGTATATTTTAGAAACCACAGTTAGCAGGAACCCTGATTAGCACAGGAATTAGTAATCGGTCCAGCTCGTAAAGGTTACACTGCATTTGACTCCCTTGTCCCCAAGGAAGGAACCCGAAGAAGAAAGGGTCCCAGAGCTAAGATACCTATAGACTTTTATGTACAGGGAAGAAAAAGCATTCTACCTGAGCTCAGGTCAAAAGTACTGGTAACACAGGAAAGTAATGAATCCAAACCCCAAACATTAGAGTAGGAAAAAAATTAATATTCCAAGATTTCTGAGCAAATACTGGCTGAAAATGCACTCCAGAAATAAGTAAAAAGACAAGAGAGAGGGAACAGGAAGCCACTGAGCTGTATCAAATTACATTTACTTGAGATAATTTCTTATATATATGATTTCCTCCTGCAGAAAACAGTAATACAAGAGAGTATCAGAGTGTGACGATTTGATTCCAACATAAATATCTGTTGAAACAGTCATTGCAAATAATGAAATTCACAGCTAAAATTGTCATTTTTACTACTGTTCTATTTATGTATAAAATAGGTCTTAGAAACCAAGGAAATTATTTTTAAGAGATATATAATTTTATTTATATGAAACTCATTTCGTCAAACTTAAGATGCTACCGAATATAAGACACTAAACGTAAGACACATAGAGGCAAAACTAGGTTTACAGCAATTAATAAATAATACAAGAATAAACTGTTTCAAGTACTTGCAACTGCAAAGCTACTTTTGCCCCACCCTGTATATTCCATTTTGAAAAACCATGCCAATTAAATTATGACAAGCCACTGACTGTAAGATAAATGCCAATTTCAGAGACGTTAAAAGGAAACAAGAGTACGTATTAGAATGAATGGAACATGGTGTATCAGAATTCAAACTACTACTATTAGAAAAATATCCATGTACGGCTGTATTGGGTAACTCTGGTTATTGTCACGTGAGCATACTAAACGTCGTGCTGATTTTGGAAAGAAGGCCATAATCCCGATTATGTCTTTTATGGAAAAGCATCAGAAATGCAGACACAGTTGCCTCTGGATTGCTAACAATGTTCAGAGTCTGTAAACTGAAAGTATGCCCTGGAGTTCCTAAAGCAGAGCCCAAGATCAACATGCAGCTAGACCGTGATGTCTCTGTGGTGGCCCGTGTTCCTGAGAGAATGACACTGGATAAACTATGCACTCCTTCTTCGCTGAGGAGACTGAGTGACAGGCAGCGGTGACTCACAAAAAAGGGGAGAGAGTGACATACANATGTTCCTGAGAGAATGACACTGGATAAACTATGCACTCCTTCTTCGCTCTGAGGAGAGTGAGTGACAGGCAGCGGTGACTCACAAAAAAGGGGAGAGAGTGACATACACGAACAGCTACAGAACGGTGAAGTTATTTTTAGGGAGTCTCCAGGATACAAACTGGCCACTAGGTTGCCGGACTTCAGGACAGTCCAGTCTCACTTAACTTGGTACAGGTTAATAAAAAGCGACTGAAGTGTGGAAGAGGTCCCAGTTTTGTAGGTGCCAGTCTTTTCATGTCAAAGGGTCTTCATGTTACACTGGGAGCACAGAAGTAGAGTAGGTCATGTGAAATTACTTTATAAAGGGTTCTTGCAAATAGCACCTAGTATTGAGATGCTATAATAGAACTAATTATCTTCCTTGCCTTCACAAAAGTAGTAGTGAATGTGGCGTTTTGCAAATCTTGGGATATTTCTTCATATTACACATGCTGAAGAAAGGGGTTAGCTGTCCAAGCAGACCCAATGTTCTCTAATTAAAGGATCACACAGTTATCTCAGAAAGCGATCTTTAGGAAATTATTTACATATTTCCTTTGTGGACAGCTTTTAATAAAGGCATCCTGAGCCATTTGGGGCTGGTTTTTGTTGTTTTTAATTTTGCCTTGTTTTTTTTAAGCCGTTTGGAAAGTTGCTTATACAGCTCTCCAAGAAACTGTTCTAGGAATTGGCACCGAAATACCAGAAGCTTATAAAACTTCTATTTGTATAACAGGGTTTACCTGAATTCCCTTTCAAATTTTTATATCTAAAATTTATATTTCTTAAATTTTGTTTTGTGACCTCTATGGCTCTACAACTCTGGATTGCATTTGTAAAAAACTGAGTTTTGCAGCCTTTTTCTCCTTTTTATTCCCCTAGAGGTCATAAAAACAGACTTTGTTCATTAATTATTTTTATTATTCATAAACACTTATTAAGTGATGACATATACAAAGATAAAAAGGATACTGGCCAAGGAATGCACTGTAGGTCGCTCCCATTAAATACACTGTGAAAATGCTCCACGGAGAGCGTCTGCCAAGTGTGAGGGCAGCTGGGGGAGGGGCCCTGCCCAGGCCTCAGGGATGAGCGGGGCCAGGCAGGTGGCCCACAGGGTGTGCGTGTGCAGGGCGCATAGGACAGGCTGTAACAAGGAAATCCAAGGCAGGGTGGGGGCATGACAGGCACGGCCGGCGAGAGGCAGGCGGGGCCTCTCCATGCTACCAGGGCACACTGTCTACTGAGCGATGTGAGGCCGCTGAGGATTTTTAAGGAGAGTGACACACTGATGGAGAAGAAAAGGCTGGAAGCAGACAGACTAGGTAGGATGCTATGGCAGTGGTCCAGGCAACAGATGACATGGTCTGAACTAGGCAGTGGTGAAGAGAAAGGGATAACTCTGGTTCCTGAGGCTGCGGAATCAGCAAGGTCTGCAGATGGGAAGCACCCGGGCTAACTGCTGGGTTTCAGGCTTGGTGACTGCAGGATGACATTAGCATAAGGAACAAAGCAGAGGAATAGGTTTGGGAGGAAAACAATGGGAGAGAAGGGAATGGCTAATTGAAATTTTTTGGGAAAGAGGGAACTCACTCATGGAGTACGGTTTCTGAAGGCGGCAAATGGAGATGGGATCCAGGGTAGAGGGATAAGCTCTGAGGCAGAGGAAAGTTAGCTCTGCCCTTCTCTGAGCTAGAAAGAGTAAGCGGGAGGAGGGGGGCTGTGCAGGAGTGCTGGGGCCTGGAGGCCAGGGAGCTAAGAACTCCTAGCCTGTAGTCTCTGTGCCTTAGGACATCAGTTTGGGTACTAAGCAAATGAGGAGTTTGGGCAAAGTGGGGAATAGGAACTGGAATGTGCCAGAAATTCAGAGAAAGGCTGCTGGACTTGGAAGCAGGTTTCTTTCCTGAATGGCACCAAGTCATACTGTAAAAGTGTCAAGTGCATTAAAGGAAAATGACAGATCCTTTTTTTAAAAGGGTGACTGTGCTAAATTTGAGCTTTAAATGTTTTACTCTGCATGCAGTTTTACATAACCAGTGATGTTTATATCATGTATTTTACCAACTCAGAAAAAGATATCTTAAAAAATCAACTGGACAAATTATACAATGTAGAACAGCTCTTCGCTTGTACTGCTGTCTAGCACGATGCCAACAGGATGCTATTCCTGCAGACAAGGCTCTAGGACACTGCCACCTGCCGAAAACTTTGTTGACTCTTCATGGTTGTATTCTGATTACCTGTCTTAAAATGACTAAATCAGAATGTAACGGGCATTCAAAATATAATAAAAGATCAGAAGTTGCACCTTTGGGATTCTTTCTGCTTAGGAGGATGCTAAGAAAGAACCAGGGTGGCATCTGGGAGAAAGGGGGTCTGGAGTGGTCTCGAGGGGTCCAGGGGCTCAGGCCAAAGCCTTTGATTATAAGAGGGAGACTTTTGCTTGGATGCCCCGTAATGCAATAGACAGCCCTTAGTGATCTGCAGCTGGTCAGCATTCAGGGAATCAAATTATTGATGTCGTCACAACAGACACAACCAACAGACACTCATTGAGTGATATTTTCCATGTGTCATTTATAATAGGGTTTTTATTCTAAATGGCCCCAGACATGTGTTCTCATGAGTTCTTAGTTTTCCTGTCTCTTCCTCTCCAAGGCTGTCAGCTCTTTCCCCTCCTTCCTCAGCCCCTTCTCTCTTTTCCAGTTGTGGATTCTTAGATGTGAATGACAGTATCTGTAAGAGAACTTGGCTAGCACTGGACGTAAATCAAGAAAATGTGTCATCTGTATTTCTCTTGAAGGCTTTTTTTAAAAAAACTTAATTTTTATTGTTGACACTATTAGAGATGCCCCCCCATTTTCCCGTCTGCCCACCTCC